TTCTTAAATGTTGCTAAGAAAAACAAGAATGACCTTTCCTAAACTTTCTAGGGAAGAAAATCGAGAATGTCTAAGAATATAATACAAGCCATATCTTCAGCGTAATCAAAAATTTTATATCTTTCTTGTTGTTTTTTTCTTATCAGTATTTGTCAAGAAAGATAAGAACTTAATTCTTGTATTTTCTTAAATGTTGCCAAGAAAAACAAGAATGATCTTTCTTAAGCTTACTAGTCAAGAAAAACAAGAAACTTTAAGAAAGAAACACTAAGCAGAGCTTTATTCTAATAATAGATGTAGATAATTAAATTTCTTGCTTTTCCAATCAGTGTTTGCCAAGAAAGACAAGAACCAAATTGTTGTATTTTCTTAAACATTGCTACGAAAAACAAGAATGGCCTTTTTCAATCGTTCTAGGTAACACGAACAACAAAATTTTCGACATACACAAAAAAAAACTTTAATCTGACCACTTTGATGTCAGGTAAGAAAGAAATCTTACATGGAGATTAAATAAGAAAGTTTAACTAAGTCTGAGAGAATTTTAAGATTAAAAGAATTTTAATCTGGTAACTTAGAATCTTCCCTAGAAATATTTTCTTTACTAAAGAAATTTCAAGATTACAAGAATTCTAATCTTGTAAGTTAGAATCTCCTCTAGAAATATTTCTTCACCAAAGAAAAATCAAGATTTAAAGAAGCCTATTTTAGAAAAAATCATCTCCACTCAAGAAAAATGAGAAAATTGTTCTTGGTGCAAGAACGTAGGTATACAGAAAACTTAATTTTTTTCTTATTTTTTTCTTATTATTCTCCCCCAAAGAAAAATTTTCTTCCCATGAGAAAATAAGAAAAACAAGAAAAAGCATTTTTGGTAGTGTACCGAGGACTCTCCTAGTACCCGCACGGTCGCAATACGTATATTAGACGATAGAAGTCATTTTCTCCAATTCCAACAAAAATACAATATTATTATGGCATGCGCTTTATGCTAGAGAAATATTTCAAAACAATAGTTGACCAGCTTGTCGATAGAACATGTTGGAAATAGTAAATCGAGGAAGGGGGAGGGGGTGGTCTTACGTCATATCCGTGACTTTTACTAGCCATTATGGAAAGTGTGAAATTGGTGAATGGTGATCATGCAAACAGCGCCTGATAACATTATTATTAATAAGGTTCGAAAGAGAGCATCCGCCCATATATAGGTAACGTTATATGATACGTCCAAAACATTGTTACCAAAATTACAAGCGTCTGTCTCCCCGCTCGAAATCGATTTGTGTGATCAGCCGGGTTGTGTGTGTAGAGCGCTGACTGTGTATTTGTGTGTAATCCTCCAGGTTGTAATGAGATGTGTAAAAAGTCGGGACGTGTGTGTACAGCACTTACTGCTTATGTGTGTGTGAGTGTGTGTGTGTGTGTGTGTGTGTGTGTGTGTGTGTGTAATGCATTAGGTTGTGAGCAGTTGTGTGAAAAGCCGGGTTGTGCATGTGTGACTGTGTATGTGTGTGTAATGCACCAGGTTTGTGCGGGGCTGTGTAAGAAAATGGGTTGTGATGGAACAGCGCTGACTAAGTATGTGTGAGTGTAATGCACCAGGTTGTGAGTAGATGTGTGAAGAGCCATATGCATGTTGTGTGTTACTGTGTATGTGTGTGTAATGCACCAGGTTTGTGAATAGATGTGTGAAAATTAGGGCTGTGTGTGTACAGCTGCTGACTGTGCATGCGTATTCTGGAAGTGGTCAGCTGTGTGTGTAAAATGCACGTACTGTATGTATGTATTTATGTACTTTTGCAACACTTGGCGCTCGATACCCTCCAAGCCTAAAATGTTCGCATCATCGCAATCTCCCGAAACATCTACTTCTCTTTTCCACTCCATTGACATTTTAATTAAGGTTATTTGTTATCATTTCCGTCTTATTACGTTGCTTGTTAACCATTTGTTTTATCAAGAATAATAATTACTAAATGTTTTCAAATATCATTAGTATCAAATAGCAAAGTTTTTTGATCACAAAAATTAATTTTTTCACGAGCCGACGTTTCGTTGACCATATCTGTTATCTTCATCATGGCAATTCTGACTGTTTTACTGTGCACTGATGCTAGGTGTTACTTGGTGCATAGTGCACTAAAGGTGCATGCCCGTAGCCAGGATTTTGGGGGGTTCTTCCCACTGTTTGAGGATACCTCGAGCGCCGTAGGCGCGAGGCGAGCGCCGAAGGCGCGAAGTTGCTAGGGAGGCATGCTCCCCCGGAAAATTTTGACAAATGGAACCTTCTAAAATTGCATTTCATGCATTTTTGAGAGGATTTCCAAGAAAAAAATCAGAGATAGATTTTTATTCAATGACAAAGGGACTGTTAACAATGCATTTCTGAATGTATTGCAATTGTGACATACATACAAGGCATTGTTGCATCATAGGGACATATGTGGTTCAAAATATAAAGTGTTTCTATAATGTAAAATTTGTTAACTAACAATACTGAGCTATCCCAGTCCCAAATATATAATAAGAATAGAAAATATAGGATAAAAAAAGAGATTATCGAAAGTCTTGTCACATACGTATTGATAGAAATAATAAGAAAACAAATGTCAGTTATTAAGAATGTGATCCCAAACATGACTAAGTTTATACCCCCCTCCCTTTATCACTATTAATATGACTTGATTGGATTTTCTCATCCTTTTTTATTCATCAATAAACATACAATATACAATGTAGTGAACCATCCCGTACCTAATTATGATAATCATAATGATGAAATAATAACAATAATAATTCAATTCATATCTGATGGTAATAAAAGTGATCATAATAATAAGTGGTCATGATAATAAGTGATCATAATAATAACTGATCAAAATAATAATGATCATAATAACTCAACTCATAACTGATCATGATAACTGATAAAAAATAACTGATCAGAATAACAATAAAAATCATAGTAATGACAATAATAATGCAACTGATCATAATTGATCATACTAATAACAATAATCATAATAATCACTGATCATATATCTTATATCATAATTCAAATAATAATATTGATAGTGAAAACACTCAAGAACATAATAAAGTGCCCCATTTGCCACCATGCTTCTACAGATTTCCCCTTCTTGCAGCAATAGAATATTCTACTGTATGAAAGAAATTTGCATAATTAAAAAAAGATTAAAAAGTAACATGGTTGGCCTTTCTGCTTTCATAAATGCATCTTTTAGCTAATAGAATTACAAGGTTACCTATAACAGGGGCTTCTGAATTTAAGTTACCAAAAATGACATTAAAAGAATTAAGCTGTAGTCTTTGTCCAGTCTGTTGATGAAACCATATTTGAATTTTATCCCAAAAAGAAACTAAATGCGGACACTCCCAAGACATGCAGGTAGGTTTCTTCTTCCTCATGGCAAAATGAACATAATGGACTGTCTATACATTTCCAGATATACAATAACCTATTTATTGGTAAAAATTTATGAACAATTTTATATTGAAAAAACCTTGTTGTCGGATCAATGGTACAATGTATAATAGAAGTGTAGACTAGTCTCCAGGGGATTGGTTTGTCAAAGAGGTACAGCCATGACATCTAAACATTTTACGAACAAGCTATCAAATTATAGGAACTTAAAAAGAATTTACACATGCTTTTATTTATCTTGATTTTTCTAAGCCAGGTATTATCACATTGGGTAGGTATACAAACTAAAAGGGATGAAGAACCAAACAAAGTAGATTTCCATTTTGGTGGGATTGCAGTTTATAGCTGCAAATACTGCATGTGGCTACAAACATTATTATACTAAATACAAACTTCATCATATAACATGAGGGAACCATCTAAATTTAAAACATCATTTACAAACAGAATTCTTCTATTTAGAAAAGCATTTGAAAAGAAAGGTTTTCCACCAATAAGGATATTAGAATTCATAAATAAAAGCTGTTGTCTAATCTCAGCTGGAGTTGTGGGGGCCTTCTGTTGATATTTATACCAAGCATATACAATATGATATAAGAAAGAATTTAGTTTCAGGTACTGTAAGCTATCCAACCGGAGAAAAGGAAATAATGTATATACAACAGAAAGATATGTACTTAAAGACCAGGAGGTAAACCAATCAGGATAAAAATATAATTTTGGCATCCATGAAGCTTTAATGGTAAGGGAGAAGGCATATAAATTATAAGAATTCAAACCACCATTTTCAATTGAGTTATAAATTGTTTTCCTACTGACCCTTTCTAGACCCCCATTCCAAATAAAGGAAAATATTTTTCTCTCATATATTTTCAAAAAGGATTTACTTGGGGTGGGGAGCACCTGGAAAACATTAGTAAACTGGGAAACAATCAAGCAATTTATGACAGTAATTTTTCCCAACAAAGATAAACTTTTTTGTTTCCAGGGGAATAATAATCTATTTAATTTTGCTAAACGGGGTTAAAAGTTGCAGTTAATAATGGACCCCAAATCCCTAGGTATATATATCCCTAGGTATATGATTTTCTCATCCTCACGGTCTCCTTAATCCAACGGATACATCTGTTGTCCTCTCGGTCTATTACCTTGGCCTCGTCCCAATCTATTACATAGTTATTACTTGTAATGTGGTATGTGACTGCTGATTTGTTTCTCAGCTTCTTTCTTTCTTGCTCTGGTGTACGTTCCCGTTTGGATGCTGTCTGCCTTTACATTGCATTTACAAGATACCATGAATGACTTGCAAGGAGGTATACAAAGGGGAGACAGGAGGAACATTTGCATGCAGCCTAGAAGAACATAGGAAAGAGGCAGACAGCATCAAGACGGGAAGGTCGAGTTCTGTGACACACTGATAGTAATAAAAGCATGTCTATATTGAAAAAAAAACTTCATGACATGTTTAAGTGTAAACTTATTTGCTTTTATCCTTTTTTTTGTTATATATCTCGATATGTTTGTGTACAAACCTACAAATAAGTATATCCCGTACCTGTGGTAAACATCAGCCCGCAGATGATCGTAGCCGTGAAAAGTCGTGCCGCCATCACGCCGCGTCCGGGCGGGCGGACGGTCTGTTGGTGTCCGCTGATCGTGCTGAGGAGAACGTCCCGTCTGATGTTACAGAAATGTTACTGTACACAGTTGGTCTTCTTGCAAGTTAAGTCATTTGAACATAAATTTAAAGAGTCAAATTGTTCCGAAAACGAAGGCCAAAAAGAGCCCAGGAAACTGCCCCGACTAGGTCGTAGTGTTATAAGTGCACAATGTTTTCCAAATATGCCGTGCAATGGCATAGCAACATCAAAGCCTTGTTATTATGTTCATTAATCCCTATTTTATGATACAACCCACACACCTGGAACATGTGCCGTAAAAGCGAGTAATATTTGCTTTTTTTCGTTTCATTTTACAAACCAAGGATCATTGGGTGACTTGCTGATGGCAGGTGCAGAGAAAAGAAAGTCGGCTAATTATATTTTAAACGGTAATGATAAAGTTCGCGGTACAGAAGTAACAAACATACATAACGAACATATTTACCGTGAAAAAATCAGGAATTACAGTAATCAATATCGAGATATTCTCGTCACACCTGTGTTACTCGCCTGAAAACACGCTCTAATCATCCCGGTGTAAGACAGCCTATTGTCAACAGTACGCAATGGCATTAATATTTAATATTTATAAGTTCTGTCAGTGTCCTGTGTTGTTCCTCGTCACCAGACCGAAAAACGTTACCAGAACGAGGTCGAAATTTCAAACATTACTCACCGGTTTCTTCCAGTCGCCCGGTTCCGTCTCCCATAGTGAGACCACCATCTGTATCCGTCAAATATTTGATACTGTTAGTTTTGACCTTGTTCGTCTTTGTTCTCGTCAGAGTCCCGTCAACTCCGCTCAGAGCCGTACATTGTTCGCTTGTATTTTCCAAATTCGTACGCTTTAACTCTAAGGGACTGTACGTTATTTTTTTGGGGGGGATAGGGATCGTACGTTAGAGGGCCCATCAAAAAAGAAATTCCCTGACCCCCCCCCCGGTCCAGAAAATTTTCCCCGACCCTCCCCCTGGCTTTAATTTTTCCCGTGATCCTACCCCTGGCACTGACATTGAAAATGGTAAAAAAAAAGACGGTTGAAGGGACAACAGAAAGCATTTACATCACCCGATTTGTGCATCCCAAAGACGCAATAACGTGTTCACGTCCTGTGCACGTTCGAGTGAGCAGGATTGACATGAGAAATGACCGGTAGTATTCAAAATATTCATTTTTCAAACATGTGGTTGTCGGCCTCTCATTTTACCACCGCTGCCGTATTATCGGTGCGACCGCCCCTCCCCCCTAAACTCTTTTACTTCTGGTAAACGTATTCTAGTCCAATGTTTTCAGCTACTTGGCTACCGGCTGAATTTGGGAGACCTTACATTAATTATAATAAACATTTGTTAAAACCTATTTTGTTCCTGCTGATTATTTTCATGTTCATTTTTTTTGCATTTGTTCTCGAAACTAACACTAATAGTGGTAATTTCCCAGTTTCCCTTGAACGTTACACGGAGTCAGAATGCTAAGTAAACATGTACTATCGAGTGACCAGTCACATACAATTATTACAAACAGCGCAGTTTATTTACGAACAAAACCTACCATCGATGCTACCTCCACACAAGTACCAGGAATAATTGAGTGGCAAAACTGAGCAATTTCTGGGTGGAAGAATTACGGTAGTTACCGTCATGCTGGAGTCCGTATGACTTCAAGGCTGACGCAAGCATAATTGTGCGCCTTCCGCCGTGCCGGTGCCGAGCGGTCACTATTTCTTTACAATTTTGAAAACAGTTTTTGCAAAAAAAAAAAAACTCCCTGACCCTCGCCCCGGTCAAGTTTTTTTTTTCTTGTCCCTCCCCTGGCTCAAAAAAAATTGTTCTTGACCCTACCCACTCATGCACCACCCCTCCCCCCGCTAAATATCGTACAGTCCCTAAGACCCGGACCTTCATCTACTACGGTTCTGCCAGTTCTGTTGACTTCGTTTGATCTGAGCATGGAGGTAGAATTGAAATATTGTGGTTTTATATCAAGTTACACATGGTTTCTAATATTAATAGAAATAACATCCCATATAATGTTATGTAAATTTTATCATTAAAAATGCATAATTTATGCTAATTTGATGACGTCATTAGCCAAAATCCAAGATGGTGGACTATATCATTTGAATATGTATATACAGGTTATTTTCCCTTAAAATTTCATTAATACTTTGTACATTTTTAGAAAAGGTTCATATGAACGTCTTTAGTCTGTTAACATTGTATTTTAGGCTCAATCCTGAAAAAACAAACTATTTTTGAAAATACAAGATTGATGATCCAAAATGGCGGATAGATTAAATATAAATGACGTCACTGGTGTTGCTATGGGCAACATAAGACTTAGTACACCCTAATATTCTGCCATAAACACTTTTGGTAAAGTTATGTTGTATACTATTTAGTTTTCAGGGAATAACCTATCTAGACGGTTTTGGCCAATAAAATCAAATTAATGACGCCTAATGTCATATTACGTCATAACGACATAGAAATTGTAGATATGATAAATTTGTTACTAGTACACCATCCTCTGAAAATTTGGTGGTCATACGACATACCGTTCTTGAGTTCTGAGGAGGGTCAAATGAGCCCCCCCCCCCGTCCCACCAAGCCCAAAAAAGCCCGGTCTAGATAGGGTTAAGGGTACCCCATAAGGCAGAGCGTGGGTGCTTAGATCAGGTAGTCGGGGTCCAGGCTTGAGAGAGGAAGGTCCGGTTGGTATGTGTACTAGGGCAGGAGTCTTGCATTAAACTGAGTTCTTGGAGTTCAACCCCGACTCATTTCCTGTTATTGTGCGTGAGAGAGAGATTGTGTGTTTGTTTGTTTGTTTGTTTGTTTGTTTGTTTGTTTGTTTTATGTATGTGTGTGTGATTGTGTGTGTGTCTGTGTTTGTAATTACAAACAAACTCAAGAGGGCTTTAGATGGATTTCTGCCCCATTGCAGCTTTAGAGAAAGCTAATTATCTCCCAAATTTCCATTGTGTTTTTCGTTAAGGTTTCTTCAGGCAATAATAGATTCTACTTTTAAAACTCTGCAATATACATCCCACCTGACTCCGAACGTCGTGTGCCACTATTCTACAGTATCCAAACAGATGGCTGATTATTCCTGATGTCTGATCAAATTTAAAAAAAAAAAAGAAAAACAATGTACTAAAACATACTCAAAGGGAGTCCAGAAGATTATTTAAGGTAAACGGTATACTTCTGCCTATAATGAAGTGACCGAGGGTAATGTTTGCATTTTGGCCGTTGTTGGAGCTTATGAGGCTAAGCGTTGTCTTCTACGCAAAAAGAGCAAAACTGTCTGATTTACAGTTCAAATGCTAAGCTCTAGTTATTACTGCTTTGGCTGCATCTTGATATGCTCATGTATCAATATGTGTATTGCATCAAACTGTCTTGAAGCGACAAAAACACATTCTCATATACCACAGCTGAATTTGAAAACCTTGTTAATAATTGTGGTTTTAAAACTTCAAAAATGTGGTTTCAAAAATGATAATGTCGGCAAAAGTGTTACTCCTGAGTTGTCCACGGTAATTTACGACAGAAGTAGGAGTTGGGACACATAGCTGACAGTGCAGATGATATACTTAAGCAATATCACCAATGAGCTTATTGTAGCATTAAAAAAATTGAAGGATATGACACATTAATATGAAACGCACCGCATTTTCAAAGATTTAATACAAAGATTTTGTTCCCAGACATAAATCTGATAGAACATGCAAGAAAAGAGTGATCACAAAATTAGACACAATACTCATCTGATGGAAACTATCAAACCTCTTATTATTTTTATATGTACCAGCTCGTCTAAAACACTTAGAGCATTACCTAAAATAGTCTATATTCGACCGTACTTTAAAACAGTAAATTCCTTAGTGGACTATGCATTTTTTTACCCATATGATTGTCCAGTTAAAAGTTACTTATTATTTAATGTCTGAAGTATTTTATAACAAAAAGTTTTACATGAAATATTTATATGAATAACAAGACAATTTGCATAGCTGCAGTCTTTGAATATTCATTTGTTCATGACTCAAGACAGGTTTAACTAATTAGAAAATTGGTTTGACTTGCAAACATTACATATTGTAATCGTCAATATCAATCGAGTGAACAGATGACATAATCCTGCAAAAAAGTTTTATCTTAATAGTACCTCGACTAAATATTAATGAATTTCTGCTTTTGTTGATTAACAGCACTGATGTAATATGTATTGAAAACGAAATAACATGTTATGATGATGTGATAATCGCACATATACAGGGTTTTATTCATGTGATTGTCTAGTCCGGATTGTAAACTCCATAAAGTTTACTATTTAATGTTTGAAGTGGTTTATAACTAAAAGAGAGTGATTGAATATGGATGCTTCTGATTTACAGTGCTGTCATAAGATGTATTGAATGATAAGCAACATGTTATTGATATAATCGCACACAATTTAGTATATATACAATAGTAGAACTGATTTGATTTTACGGAAGCCTTCCACGCGCGAAGCAATTTCCAACGTTTAAACAAAAAATGAAAAAAAAAATAGTTTCCAGCATCTGGCCATGTCATCTGCAAGGTTGGGTATGATTTGTTTAGTACCGAGAAGAAGTGCCTCTTTTAACCCTCAACAGTACACCTTCCCGGACTGATTAATCTGTACACCTGGGGTCCGTGCGGACCCCAGAACAGTTTTTTGCTAATTTTTAGAAATTATCAACTTGCTACCAGCTCAATTGTTTTGCAAACTGATGTGGGAACCTCTGTGTCCACATTACATACAAAAATCATACATTTTGAACTTTTTCTATTTTTTGGTGAAGAAAAGAAGACAAGAAGAAATACCCGATTTTTAAACCAATTTCAGACTGAAGGGGCTTTTGAGGCCCAACTTTGATCTCAGATAGCGGCTAAACGGCTTGCGCTAGAAGTATCAAATTTGGAAACCTTTCCTAAAAT